CTTCATAATGAAATCTTCGCTGGGTCTCATGTCCAGAATGGTATTTCTTAGGTTATCTCCCCACGTTTTTATAGATTTAGTTTCTACATTTAAGTCTTTAATTCATTTTAAGTTGATTTTTTGCATATCGTGTAAGAAAAGGGTCCAGTTTCAATTTTCTGCATATGGTTAGCCATAAGGCACTGTTTATTAAATAGAGAGTTCTTTCTTCATTGCTTGTTTTTGTGGGCATTATCAAAGATCAGATGGCTGTAAGTGTGTGGCATTATTTCTGGGATCTCTATTCTGTTCCACTGGTCTATGTATCTGTTTTTGTAGCAATACCATGCTGTTTGGTTACTATGGCCTTGTATTACAGTTGGAAGTTGGGTAACATGATGCTTCCAGCTTTGTTCTTCTGTTCTTTGTTCATAGTCTTTGTTCAATTGTCTTGGCCATTCAAGCTCTGTTTTGATTTCATATGACTTTTAAAATAGTTTTTCCCTAATCATGAGAAGAATGTTATTGGTAATTTGACAGGAATAGCATTGAATCTGTAGATTGCTTTGGGAAGTATAGCCATTTTAACAATATTAATCCTTCCTATTTTGTGTCAACTCTGATTTCTTTGAACTGTGTTTTGTAACTCTTGTTGTAGAGATCTTTCACCCCCCCCAGTTAGCTGTATTCCTAGGTATTTGATTATTTTTGTGGATACTGGAAATGTGATTACATTCTTGATTCACCTTTCAGCTTGGACGTTGTCAGTGTATAGAAGTGCTACTGATTTTTGTACATTTATTTTGTGTCCTGAAACTCTGTTGAATTCGTGTATTAGATCAACGAGCTTCTGGGCCAAGACCATGGAGTTTTCTAGGTACAGAATCATATTGTCTGCATATAGTTTGACTTCCTCTCTCCCTATTTTGATGTCTTTTATTTCTTTCTCTTGTGAAGTATGGCTAACATTTGTATACTTAAATCTATTTTCCATTTTATCTTTTTCTGAATTTTTATCCCCACATTTCCCCAATTTGTTCTAATAAAGGTTCCGTCACTTGAGTAACAAAGTCTAATTTATTTTTTTCTTTTGATAAGTTGATTTTGTGGCAATAATCGCTCTGATCAAACTTGCTCAATCAATTAAATGTGCTGTTAGATCTACTTCAGTTGTTGGGATGACACTAAGCAAGACATCATTTTTCAATGCATATTTAAATTAAATATATATGGCTTTAAAACATTATAAATAAGTTCACCAATGTGAAATATACATTTGCATCATTGTGTTAAAAGTTTTAATTAAAAATTTGAATCCAGCATTGTATTCTTTTTTTTTCTAGAGAATAAAGCCTAAATTTCATTAAAACATAATTATTGCAACTGGTTCAACAGATTGCAAATTCACTAAAATAATAATTGTTTGCAAGTTAATCTTCAAAGTTATCTCATTGTGATCCTTAGGTGACGATGTGATAATTGTCCCTGAAATTGACCACTTGTGTTTTTTTTAAGTAGAGTTAAGTGGCAAATCTGAACACAGTTAAGCAATTATGCTAAGTAAAAAAGAGAATGCTGTCTGAAATTCTAGCCAATAATTATCCATTAATCATGTTCAATATTTTTTTTTCTAAGGATGGTAAAAAATAAAGCTCCTAAACTCTCCCAATTTAAAAATAATTAGTGATGTTTTGTTACATTCTGGCAAGAGAAATAACATCTGAAATGTCTTGGCTTCTCACAAAATAGTTTTGTTGTTGTTGTTGTTGTTGTTGTTGTTGTTTTAAGACGGAGTCTTGATCTGTCACCAAACTGGAGTGCAGTGGCACGATCTCAGCTCACTGTAACCTCTGCCTCCTAGGTTCAAGTGATTCTCCTGCATCAGCCGCTCGAGTAGCTGGCACTAGAGGCGCTCGCCACCATGCCCAGTTAATTTTTAATAGAGACGGGTTTCACCATGTTGCCTAGGATGATCTGCATCTCTTGGTTTTGTGATCCGCCCGCCTGGGCCTCCCAAAGTGCCGAGATTACAGGCCTGAGCCACCGTCCCCAGCCACAAATCAGTCTTTTTAATAAATCCATGGCGCCATGAATCATGGTCTTTCAAAGGTCATGCTGGTCCAGGAAGACAGTGGGAAGCTGAATCACAGCTCAGATGATATAACTGCATAATAAGGATTCAGAGGACCACACCAGAAAATGGCACTTGTGCTTCGACTTTCAAAAGTGTTTGTAAAGAGGCCTGTTTGTCCCAGACACAGATTTACTATCACAGGAAAGGGCTTTTGGGGTCCCCAATGAGTGCAACAACCTCTCCCCAAACTTCTGAGGACATCTTGGCGCGCAGAGCAGCCACTGGCTACCGAATTTACTAAGTCAAAATTCAAGCTCTACAACAGCAAAGGTCCTGTGAAGTAGGCTTGGCTGGAAGAAAGCTAGGTTTCCGGCAGCGCGTGCAGCAGGTGACGGCTCCGCGAACTGCTGGGAAGCGCAGATTTGCTCTCTGAGCAGCACCAAGGAGACAAAGGATCATGCAAAATAGGATAGCTTATGCTGGCTGCAAGACGCTGCAGCTGGGTTTTGCCCCTGGGTCCTCTGGGAATCACTGCGGGGACTTGGGGGCAGGAGCAGGCTACTAGAATGATGGCAGATGGTTTAAAATTCATTACTTGCTGATCCCTAAGCAGTGGTGTCCTAGAGTCACCATAGCGCTGGAGAGTAGCAGCTGGATCCACCATTAACGTAATCTCGATTACTTCAGACGTATAATGGGAGAATGAAGTTACCTACCTGATTTATTGTTGTGCTGCGTCTACCCAGACAGTATACATCTAGCGCTTCACATGTAAGCATGTTGAATTGGTTTTTTGGCAAACACTTGTCCCCTGGCTAACTACCTAATTCTACAGAGCGTCAGAGCCTGGTGTCTCAAAAGCCCTCACCCCAAAGGCCATAGGTAAAGTATCCCCTGGCTACCAGGGCCCTGAAACCAAGCACTACAGAGCTCACAGTGGGGAGTGGAGGTGGAAAGGAAGACACGGTTTTCTGAGCTGCCTGAGTAGGATTATTTATGACGTAGCGACAAGCCTCTTCTGCTACAGCAGGCGGAGACCTTGCAACCTCAGGATTATGCTGGCAGTTGCACTCAGCCTCCTTCCCCATATACACACACAGCAACATAAAAAGGGCACTCTCACCCTGAGTTTAGAGATTACCTTTTGTGATGATAGTCTAGTCCTGGTGGCTCACTCCGTAGTGTCTGTCACTCATCAGCACGAAAAACCCTCTTTCATTCATAAATAATTGCCTTGCGCATCACTGTAGAAGAATAGTTAAAAATCCCTTTGCTTTGCTTGGGAAGTTACCTGATTTGATTAGTAATTGCCTGCCTGATCAAAAGCCATTTCCTTCGTGGTTAACCAAACATCAACTCGACTCTGTTGGGCCCGTTTTAAATATCACCAAAAGTGGATAGCCCCAATTCCCGACATTAAATGAGGACCAGAAACAGATTTGCCGTGTTTCGAAATACACGTAATTCTATGGATGGGCTCACATGCTGTTCTTATTTGCAACCCTCTCTCCCTATACAAATACACAGGAGTGTGAAGACACAAACACATTCTCCTTTCAGGAGGTGTGGAAGGATTCTTGGAAAATCCTGTCTCCGAGTTTTCTTCACAAATGACTGAAACTTATTACTGTGGCATTATTTAGCTGAAAAATCGAGATAAAGTGAAGGGGGAAGTCAAAAACAACAACAACAAAAACAAAAACATACAATAAAATCACTCTTTTACTTTTCTTGAGAGAAGGGAAAATATTTGCCAGGAAAAATACTTTAGAGAGACTGTAGTCCTCTTCAGACATTAAAACTTTCACATGAAGTGGTAAAATAAAAAATGAACCTTTGAGTTTATGCGTGGTTGACTGTGAGTTGGAAACCTCAGGAATAACGGAATGGATTTATAAACCCATCAGAAATCCCACTCTCACTATTTGGCATTCAATATTGATAAGAAATGCATGGCTCTCCTTGACCTCTGGTTTTTCAGGCAGGGGTCAAACAGGCATTATCTGCTTCAGGGGTTTTATTTGGGAAATCCTCTGGGTCCTTCCTAGTTACCCAGGACCCTGCGGTGCTGTAGCCCAATGTGGGGTAGCTGGGGTTTCCTGTATTACTTGAAAGGTGTGGTGCTCTCTGCAATGGAGAAAATAAATTTAAAAGCTATAGAATTGGTCCAATTAAACCACACTGATCTGGAATCTATCTTCTCTGGGAGCCTCTCCACTGGAGGATAAAACGAGCATTGATTTTTCAAGTACCTATGGATCAATTATTAGTAGTAAAGTCGTCTGGTTTAGGGCCTTAAGCCCTTTCCAGTTCTCTGTGAGCTGCCCTGGAGAAATAAACCAACAATTAAATATCACGAGTTCTATTTTGTAGCAGAAAAATGTGTCAGCCAAGGCATTTCTGGGATTCGCTGTGGATTAAATTGTGTGTGTGTGTGTGTGTGTGTGTGTGTGTGTGTGTGTGTTGGATCTTTCCATTGGGAGGTGTAAAGTTTTGTTTATGTGGTGCTTGCGGACTGAGAGAGGGATCCTGGTCACTGAGAGTCTACACTGCCTAGGAATCTCTGCCTGAGGCTGAATGGGTCCGTTAGTGGATTACTCCAGAGCTGAGTCCCTGGGGGAAGCTTCTGAGCTGCTACTGTTGATTGAGGATTGAAAAGTATTCTCCAACTGCAAGTGCTCCTGCTGGGCATGGAAATGAGCTGACTAGACTTGTAAAGTCAACCCATTCTTGGTTCAAAGGCATTTTTCCCAAGTGCATTAATCTGTAGCTCAGAGCAGGATGCAGCCAGGCTTGCTTGCACTGGGAGGCTGAGGTAGGATGGAGGGTGCCTGCAGCCTTGAGGCTCTGAAAGCTGAAATCACAGACTGTCTTTGTGACTTCATGGCCAACCTTGAGTAAAAGTAGGTCTTCTGTGGGAGAAGTTGCTGGAGTCCAATCTAGGAAGTAGCAAGTGTCTCTCCCACAGCTGAGGGCCAGAACACCACGTTCGTTTGTGCTCTGGCTCTAGGCCACTCTTCTCTTGGCCCTTGAGAAGAGCTGCTGCAGGCATTTTAAAGGGAATGAGCTCTGACTGAGACTTGACTTCAGAACCACTGGGGTGACCTGATCTTTTGACACAGCAACGCACTGCTTCTTGCCTTCCAGGTAAATACCTCTGCCTTATTGGCCATGTTATGGGTTTTAGGGGGACATCAGCACAAGGATTCTCCTCAGCCTCTGCCTTCTCTGTTAGCTATCACTAACCAAGTCCCTAACACTAGGAAAGTCCAGCTAATAATTGTCAGTTTCATCTTTCTTCAACTAGGAATTTTGTGACAGAGATCTTGCAATCACTATTTCTTGGGGGAGTAGAAGTAGAATGTTAGTGCTCCTTAAAATGAATGAAGACTAGACTTGTCCTGTCTGTTGAAAGTATGCTGTAATACCCAAATAAGCTAGCAATAGTCCCTCTCCTAGGCAGCAATGCTACCAGAAGGCTCCCAGGCCCAGGAGAGTATGCATTAGGGCTCACAGATCTAGTTTAGAGAGCTAGGGAGCCAGCGGAAGAGATGGAAGTGCAACCTGGAAGGTGAGGACTGCAGCCAACATGGAAGCCAGTGAGCTGAGTGGCAGGTGTCTAACACTGAAAAGCGGCCCTAGCCAAGGGCTCTAAGCAGTGGTACTTTCTAATGAGACTCTTCCCCAAGGAGCTCTAGATCACAGAGGCAGGAGGATTATTGAATCCTCTGCACTCACTTGATTTCAGGAGGAGGTCTGAAGTGCATTGGGATGAGAGAGGGAACATCAAAGTGTGCCAAAAGACTTTGTTTCCTCTTACTTATTCCTGATTTTTCTCACCAGAGCTTGAGTTCATATACTGAATTGTAACACAAACACACAAGCACACATATCACACACACAAGTGCCTTAAAATTAGAGAAGGAGACTACAGAAAGCACTTGGTCATAAAAGGGATGTCAAGGAGTTTGCTGTAGGGTGGTGTGGTTGTTTTGCTTCAGTTCAGCAGACTTATCCCTATGAATGCCTTACTGTTTTCTGTAATTTCTCTTTCGTATTTTTTAAATTTTATCTTTATTTCTTAATGATTAAAGCCTTCCCTTTTGCCCCTTGGAATATTGATTAGGGCTTACTAACTCTATAAAAATTTACTTCATGAAGGAGCAGCTTTTTGTCTAGTAATGTTAATGTGGGGACCCCGGGAAGGAAGATAATGTATGAAAGAAGGCATCGACTGGCTTTAAGCACAGGCAATATAGGTGTTTTTCTGTATTTAGTGTTTTGATAGACTTAATAAAAATCCCTCAGCCTACTACCAAATATTTTCAACTGTCAGTACATTTGTGGTTGTTAGGTATTGAAAAGCCCTGATTAAATACAGATCATTATGATAATATGGAAAGAAGCCTTTAGTACCTTATTCACATGCCCTAGGAATGAAGTGAGGTGCCAATGTAAGGAGAGGAAAATATCTTGTAAATATCCGGGAGTAAGTAAATAGCAGAAAGATTAGCATGAGATTTGGTGGGCCCAGTGGAATTCAGGATCCTTTCTTAACAGAAGGATCTCCTTCTGTTGGGCTCATAGCTACCCAAATTAAGCAGAGCCAGATGATGATGACTCACTGATCTGAGGACTGCATTGAGAGTCATTTGGTGAGAAAGCATGTGTAGCAGAAGAGGGTATAAAGCAAGCATTTTTCTGGTTTTAGGGAGATAAAATCATTCTTCATAAAGAGTATTTTTTTTCAGTAATTCATGGATGTAATAAACTTGGCATATCTCCATTCAAGTGATCTGTGCCAGTAAAATTTTGCTACATGTTTAAATTATCTATTTTAGAATATCAAACTGGCACCTACAGTCACTTTTCAAACCCTAACCCACTTTGTTTGGGGTTGATGCATATAGCATATTTGGAGGCAACTCTGACTCTCATCCTCATTTTTAAAAACGTGGCGTAAACAAAGAACAGAGAAAAGGAAAGATGGGAGTGGAGTAAGTAAAAGAAACATATGGCTGGGCATGGTGGCTCATGCCTGTAATCCCTAACCAAGGGCTCTAAGCAGTGGTACTTTCTAATGAGGCTCTAGCCTTTTGGGAGGCTAGAGGTTGGTGGATTGCCTGAGGTCAAGAATTCAAGAACAACCTGGCCAACATGGTGAAACCCCACTCTACTAAAAATACAAAAATTCGCTTGGTGTGGTGGTGGGCTCCTGTAATACCAGTTACTCAGGAGGCTGAGGCAGAAGAATCGCTTGAACCTTGGAGGCGGACTGTGCAGTGAGCTGAGATCTACTCACTACACTCCAGCCCCAGCAACAGAGCAAGACTCCAGCTCAAAAAAAAAAAAAAAAAAAAAAAAAAAGAAAGAAAAGAAAAGAAATGTATAAGGCATACTACTCAAGTTTAAATAACCTAACCCAAAAAGTCACATACCACAAACTCAAGCCATGAAATAATATTATGTCCAGCAATTGTGATTTGGCCTTCAGTTAATATATGACTCTACAAGTGCCAATGGAGCACCCAAAAGGTAGCATAGAAAAGGATTGGGTTTGACTCTAGTTTGGTGTTTTTTTTTAATTGTTTGTTATGTTTTGTAGAGAAAGGTTCTTGCTATGTTGCCCAGGATGGTCTCAAACTCCTGGACTCAAGCTATCCTTTTCCCTCAGCCTCCCAAAGGACTGGGATTACAAGTGTGAGCCCATATACCTGGCCTTAAGATCAATGTTTTAATGGAGAGTGTTTGAGGACTAAAAGAGACAGGATGCATTCACAGTTATTTATTATTTACACTGTTCCAGGAAGTAAAAGTCAGCTGAAAGGTGGCCATAGAATGCCTCTTCTGGCAATTACTTGGATCACTATAGGGTAGAGTTACATCTGGACTTTAAAAAAGTTTTTTCTTCTTTTATTAATTTAGCTTGCTCAAAAATAGCCAAGTACAAAATTTTCTCCATAATTCTGGGATCGAATCTCCCAGGAATTTTTAAAAAATTCTAACAACTTTAAGTTATGAATTAAGTCAAGAAATAAGAAAAGGTAGTTGTATGCCTTTGATATACTTCAGTTAGAATGAGAAATACAATGAACTCAAGCCTAATGTAATTATTATCTTAGGAAGACCTTCCTTCACCATTTGATAGTGGCATGAACCCATGATTAAATTCAACAGAATACATTTTCCTGTAGCTAAAGTTTTGGCAAGCATAAGCATTAGCTTCCAATCCTCCCCATGAGAAAAACATAATGAGCACAGACAAGAATTTGTATACCTACTTATTCTTCCTCCACTCTACCTAGGAATGAGGGTAACAAAGTTTGACATGCATAAGTCAATGACTAGATGAATAAAAGCAGACTTCGGGAGAGACTATATTGAATTAAACTAAACAGAAGTTGAGGGATTCAGTGTGAGAATTACTTTAGTATTAATTAGGCCATGTCCCTCAATTTCCTGAAGTGAGAACACAGCTATGATTTAGGGGCTTGTCATTAACACATTTTATCTAATCGTATAAGAACATACATTTTCATTGCATTGGTAAAATACCAAAAGTATATTTCCAAGGATCAAACTGTTAAAAACAGATTATGTATTCTAGAAGACATGTTTCCTATGGATTTTTGAAATTCAAATGCAATCCTTTGGGTTAACCCAGCTGAAGCTCACCTAAGCAAACAAAGTTAATTTATCTCTTCATATAACTTAGCTAGTGCAGGCTAAGTTGAATTCAGATACTCAAATGATGTTGTGAGGAGGCTGATTACATTTCCTGACTGCTTTCTTGAGTGTTCATTCTAAGGAGGTCTTTCCCAAGTAATGGCAAAAAAAAAAAAATGCCAATGAGTAGCTTATTTCAGATTCATGTTCTACAAGCCTGAAACTTTGCCAAAATATCTTAATCAGGGGGAGTGGGCAATTCAAAACCAACATTTTACTATAAGGATTTTCTTATTATCAAACTTAAAAAACATATTCTTCTTTCTATTGTGGGCACCTGTGGGTCTCAGAGACTCCCTCCACATGTTTTGCTGTCCCTCCATTTGTGAAGAGTCTCTTATAAAGGTTTATGTGTGTTCATGGATGAAATAGATAGATGGCCCAAAGAAACTTCCAGATGTGGAGAATGAATTGCTGGCTTTAGTGTATGCTCCTCAGACTCCCAATACCTGACAGCCCAGTGCTTCTACAGCTGATCAGGTTGCAAAGCTAGTTATGAGATAAGGCAATATTTTCCCCCTCAGAAGCAAGTTAACAGTAATTAACTATACCTTAGTCTAGTACATAGAAGAGAGAGCTGAACTACCTATCTCCCAGTGATGTCAACAGATATATACAGAAATAGAAATGGGAAAAGTTAAGATTAGTAAAATAAAAAGTCCTGGATGACTAAATTACATGCATGTAATAAATATTAAGGAAGAAGTTTCTTCTAAGAAAGAGACTTACACCAAAGATATGCTATTTTGTTGATTTAAAAATACCACATCATATGTTAGGCAGTCTAAAATACTAACACAGACAAAGCAACAAACATCTTTTGCCTTATTTTTACAGAAATCTGTTTTTTACAAAAAGATGCCAAGCAAAGTCTTCCCTTTCTTTTTTTTTAATTAATTAATTTATTTTTTATTGCATTTTAGGTTTTGGGGTACATGTGCAAAACATGCAAGACAGTTGCATAGGTACACACATGGCAGTGTGTTTTGCTTCCTTTCTCCCCTTCACCCATATTTGGCATTTCTCCCCAGGCTATCCCTCCCCAGCTCCCCCCCCCCGCTGGCCCTCCCCTTTTCCCCCCAATAGACCCCAGTGTTCGATTCCAAGCAGAAAATATTCCATACAGAGTGTTCTTAAGTTTACCCAATACTTAAAATCCATAGGAAATACCCAAGCGTCCCAATGTAACCGATATGTGAATTACAGTCTCCATTACATGAATCACACAAGTTTTACTAAGGATTATGTAAAATGGTAAGGTCTCCTTCATGCTACAGTTTGAATGTTTGCCCCTCCAAAACTCATGCTGAAATTTAATTGCTACTATAACAGTATTAAAGAGGTGGGACCCTTCGAAGGTGATGAGGCCGGGGGAGTTCCAGGTGGAGTTGGTGCCATTATAGAAAGGCAAGTTCAGCTCCCTCTTGCTGTCTCTCATCCTCTCACCTTCCACCATGTGATCAAGGAGACCCTCACAAGTAGCCAGCACCTTAATATTGTACTTCCCAGCCTCCAGAACTCTGAGCCAGCAAGTATCTGTTCATTGTAAATTACCAAGTCTCAAGTATTCCGCTATAGCAGCACAATAGACTAAGATATCTTTAAAACAAATTTTACTAAAAGGCAGATGGGAGCTATATGTCAAACGAGTTTGGAACTTCTTTTCCCACTACCAAATCCTTGTCATAATGTTAATAAAGAATAGCCGATTCACTCTAGTGACTGTTTCTTTTGCCGTGCAGAAGCTGTGGAGTTTCATTAGGTCCCATTTGTCTATTTTGGCTTTTGTTGCCAATGCTTTTGGTGTTTTGTTCATGAAGTTCTTGCCTACTCCTATGTCCTAGATGATTTTGCCTAGATTTTCTTGTAGGGTTTTTATGGTGCCAGGTCTTATGTTTAAGTCTTTAATCCATCTAGAGTTAATTTTAGTGTAAGGTGTCAGGAAGGGGTCCAGTTTCTGCTTTCTGCACATGGCTAGCAAGTTTTCCCAACACCATTTATTAAACAGGGAATCCTTCCCCCATTGCTTGTTTTTGTCAGGATTATCAAAGATTGTATGATTGTAGATATGTTGTGTTGCCTCCGATGCCTCTGTTTTGTTCCATTGGTGTATATCTCTGTTTTGGTACCAGTACCATGCTGTTTTGATTACTGTAGCCTTGTAGTATAGTTTGAAATCCAGTAGTGTGATGCCCCCCACTGTGTTCTTTTTGCTTAGAATTGACTTGGCTATGCAGGCTCTCTTTTGGTTCCATATGAAGTTCATGGTGGTTTTTTCCAGTTCTGTGAAGAAAGTTAATGGTAGCTTGATGGGGATAACATTGATTCTGTAAATTACTTTGGGCAATATAGCCATTTTCACGATATTAATTCTTCCCAATAAGAAAGTCTTCCCTTTCTATACAAGGTGATGTTCTGCCTTTTAACAATAAAGTGAGCTAAGGTTCAAAGGCAAGAAAATGCCTATATTAGAATATATATGGTAATTTGCACACTAAAATTAACAAATAAGCTCGAGTTTTCTGTTTTTGAGTTGTGTTTTTAGGTAAGAACATGCAATGAATAATATATATGTATATGTGTGTGTATATATATTTAGATATATATCTATATGTAATATATATATCTATATATAGATTGATAGATATATCTTCTGAGTAAGAGAAAATAAACACTCTCCCCCCACTTCAATAGCTGCAAAAAGAAACAAATGCTCTAAGAGATGTGGCAAAGATCACAGGCTGATGTGGCTGTTCTCCAGACCAAGTTCCCTCTACGAAATTGGCCTTGTCCCGTAAGGTTCACTTTGCCTGTCTAGGACAGGGACAGTGTCTTTCTCAATTCTGCATGATGAGCAGTGGATAAATAATTATTGAGCCAAACCCTTCAGCAGCATCAAGCTTTGCCATATTACCTGAGATTTTTTAGAGTGTTTAAATTCATACCCAGTTGCCTGAAGATCTCCTCCCTATGGCTGAATATCACCCTGCCACCAACAGTACCACTGATATCACATTAGCAGGGCACATTTGTACCTAAGTAGCTGAAATCAAAAGCACACAAGGGTCTTTTACTCTCAGATTCCAATACTGAGATATAAGTTAATTCAAATTCCATCTCATTTTAAATGAATTTGGACCACCTTCACATGCCGTTGGTACAAATGTGTCAGAAGAGAATAATGCAATTTTTCCAGAAATATGCAAATGCCATTAGTTAAGATGCACCTGCAGAAGAGTCCAAGTCACTTGATTTCTTATTTCTGATGAAAGATAGGTGACCAAATCATATGCACACAGGCAGACATATCTGCACCCATAAACATGCTCTTTGGACATTGTAGACAAGTCTCTTCCTGAAAAAAAAAAGAAACTTCTTTATCCATTTTAAAGAAAAGTAAAATCCAGCCCAAGAATATATTCCAGGAGGCACTGATCAATTATTTAATCTGAACATTTTGAGTTGGGCACATTTTGGAGAGCAAAGGCCCTTTCGTTGCCATGCTGGTGGCTCTAGAGTTTTTAGGCTGTGTTTGCTTATTAAGTCCTGTGAGAAAAAACAAAGGCTATGTATGGGAATACTGGGCTCCAGCAGAGACAGGGCTTGAAGATCCACATTTTCTCTGATGCTTGACAGTTGCATCTGGGAGACTCCTGCCTGCCTTCATCTCACTACTAGAAGAGAGAGAATAAACTGGCACAACTGCTTCTCACCTAGTTTGAGACTTCAACTGCAGAGCCAACTGGCCCAAAAATCTTGTACTCCTTTCTGTTTCCCAGTGCTTTCACTGGAGAGCCAAAAGACCCTGATACACCTCTCTGGATCTGTTTCAATAAAAGCGGCCCCTCGTGGACAATTATTTCACATGTCTTTGAGTTTTACAATTTAATATAAAATCTTAACCTGTGTCTCCCTTTTCTTCTCTCTCCACCTCCCTATCTGTAGCTCTTTTTCAACAAGTCCCCAACCCCCCTCCCTGTCAGACTCTGAAGTGTCACTCACTGTGTTTTTTATGCTTCCAATAGTTTCCAAAACAAACAGTGGAGGCAGTGACCGGCTGGGTATTCACTGGATGCAACAGTAACTCCCAATACGAGCAACCTGAGCCGCAATTGGCGGCAGGTCTGCTCCCTAAAAGGCCGGCGCTTGCCAATCTCTGTGCTCTGCCAGGTTCTGGAATCAGGGATTTGAGACTAATGGTCTGCATATGTCCACTGAGAGGAAGGGAGACTAGACTCTGAAGGACATATACACTAGTTCGATCTTCCTCTCCTTTCATTTTGTCTATTCAAACAAAAAAATGTATATATAAAAATTACACGCACACACACACATGCACACACAATTATTTTCTTTGAATACAAATACAGAAATTGTTTTTTCAGATTTGGGTTTTGGGTTTTGGGTTTTGTTTTGTTTTTTCCCGCTTTCCCTCCTTCCTTTACCCTCTGTGCCCTCCATCTGTGTCTCCCCTCCTTCCCTAGCCCAGTTCAGGTTGAAACTTTGCTGCAAAGAATCCCTTCGCCCCTCCAGGGATGGCTCTGAGCTCTCGGGCGCATGCCTTCTCCGTGGAAGCCTTAGTGGCGGGACCCAGCAAAAGAAAACTCCAAGAGGGCGGAGAGGAAGAGGAGGAGAGCAGAAGCGCTGCAGGGAAAAGCGAGCAGCGGGGTAAGTACTCCCATTGCCCTGAGCCGGTTGCCCGAGCTTACTGGATCCGCATCTCTCCGCCTGGTTCGCGTCCTGACTCAGCCATCAGCCACGTTAGGGGCCGGCGGGACACCTCGACCACCTGGTGGTGTAGAAGTTTCAGCGCCTCCGAATCCCTCCGGGAGTACAGCAGTTTCTTTGCGGTAAAGGGTAGGGTCCCTACGTGATTGTGAAGTGAGTCTCTCCTACATCCTCCTCCTACCTTCGTTGAAAGGTCTCAGAACCAGCGTATGGCTGTTGTATCCCGGGATGGGAAGCCTGGCGAGTTCCCAAATCCCGAGGGGATCCAGTCTCCGTTATAAACGTCTCCAGGAGAGTGAGGATTGGCAAATCTAAAAAAAGGGAGGGGGGTCCTGCACTTTTCACAGCCGCTCTCTTTCCATTCAGAGGCCATAGAGGGGGTTATGCGGCGCTTGGGGAATCTGCCGCCAAAGTTCCTGGGAAAGGGACAAGGCCTGTCTGCTCCAAGATAGGTAGCAGCGAGAAGTGGGCATGTGAACTGTCATGCTCTCTCAAACCCTGAGCGCGTTTCTGTGTCCAGCAGAAAAACAACCTAAGACAGAGCCCTCAACAACTGCTTCCTCTGCCTGCGGCAGCGACAGTGGCGACGGCAACATCCCTGAAACTCTGGAAGACAAAGATATTCAAATGGAGCTTCAAGGATCTGAATTGTGGAAGAAATTCCATGACATCGGGACTGAGATGATCATTACTAAAGCGGGCAGGTTCGGTTCTGCCCACGCTGTTTGCAAGGGTCGCACACATTAGGCACTTAATTTACTGCTCTGGTAAGATGTGGAGTCTCCAGTTGTTTGCTCTGGCATTCCTCCGTCCCTTTTCCCCAACTCCTTGGCATACATTAGAAAGCCGTGCCCCCTCAATTAATAGGGCTAGGACTTACCTGGTCCCATGTTGGTGGCTCATTCTTCCTTTTCTGTATACTGTGACTCCAATAACTCACCTCCCCGTCTCCTGCCTGTGTAATATGAGACAAAAATCAGATTTTGGTCTCAGACTGTGGCCAGACCTCTCACATAGGGCCTGCAAGATACCCATGGACAATATCCCATGTCACAGTTCCTCCAGCCCACCAGCCTTGGCCCTGGCTATTTTGAGGTGAGCCATACCCATAGCCACTTTTTGGCATGGGAAAGCCACTTCACTGCAGCTGGTTACTTTGTGAGTCTTATTACGTTCAGCCTTCTAAAAATCTGCCTCACAGAAAGTATCCTTGAAAAGGAGGTTGTGACACAGCTTTTTCTTCCATACTTTCTCTTCTGTAAGCTTTTTGTTATGTTTGGGAAGGGGCATGCACAAAGCCTTGTGGTAATAATATTCTGCTCCACATAGAAATACCAGAGTTGTTCAATCAAGTACACAACCAATCATCTTTCCTCATACAGCAAATGCTATTCCTTGAACTTATTTTGAAATGGGAAGAGTATTGGGAGTCCCTTCACTTTTTACTGCAGTCAACATTTGTGAAGAACCACTCCCTCTTTCAAACATTTCTGAAAGCTCTTGAGTCAGTCCTTATTTTCTTTCTTACAGGCGGATGTTCCCCTCTGTTCGGGTCAAGGTGAAAGGGTTGGATCCTGGGAAGCAGTACTATATGGTCATCGACGTGGTGCCAGTGGATTCCAAACGCTATAAGTAATGGGGCCCATAGGATGGTACCCATGCCCAGGCTAGGGCGAAGGCTTTGGACCTTCAGACCTGCAACCTGACAGCAGGACTTTGAAAACTCTAGCATGGGGGGTGGGGTGGAGGATTGCCCTCTTGTGGGCTTTGGGAGTTGAATTTTCTTATTCAAAATGGGGTTCCCAGTGAAAGAAGAGCCGGCTTCTACCTCTCTCTGCCTGCATCCCCTCTTGGCATGCAGTGAATGCAGGACACTAATTGAGCTTCAAATGTACCCCAAGCCTCTCCCTACCCACTGCTCTGGGCTTGGTTGTGTAAATTGAAGAGGGTGTGGGCTCTGGAGACCAGAAGGGAAGCAGGTTAAATGAACTGAGGGAGAAATCCCCAGGCTTTATGGGGTGCTGGGCTTCTGAGGACACGCTGGGCTCTGAGGGGTCCTGCTTTGGTAGCCGGAGCCCAGAAGGATGACAGATTTGCCTCTCAAGGTCAATCAAGCAGTTCCTGTGTCTAGGCCTGTCTTTTTATTCATCTTTAACCTTTCCCCTGAAGCAATGTCTGGGTCTTAAGTGGATACAAGTATCCTTTTCCCTTTATTTAAGCCCTCAAATTACAGCAGATTGAAAGTGGCCCAATTGTTCCAAAGCCAAAAAGCCTTTCTGGGATACACCCTAGAAACACCAGCTTGCCATCACTTTGACTCAGGGACTTGGGGTTCAGTTCAGGGTTGGAGGGGTTGAGGAGGGGAGAGCTGTTTACACTAGGACTGTGACCATTTGACCCAGAGGTGGATCCCTGGTCCTCCAAGGAGAGAGCCCAGCTAAAATCCAGGGCTAGTTTTGAAAACAAAGAGAAGGCTCAGCTCAGAGGACTGCTGGGGCTGCAGCATGGAAATGGCAGAAAAAGCTGTTTGCTTCTCAAGTTGCAGCTGGCTTGGGAACAGGAGCAAAACTGGAAAGTTGAGATGGAAAACAATTGTGATCAGCTGGAGGCTGCACAGGGGTGTGTTCCTAAGGATTTCTTTTCTTTCTTTTTTTTTTTTTTTTTTTTTTTTTGAGCTGGAGTCTCACTCTGTCGCCCAGGATGGAGTGCATTGGTACATTCTCAGCTCATGCAACCTCTGCCTCCCAGGTTCAAGCCATTCAACAGCCTCAGCCTCTCGAGTAGCTGGGGCTACAGGAGTGTGCCACCACACCCAGCTGATTTATCTTTGTATGTTTTAGAGACAGGGTTTCACCATGTTGGCCAGGATTGTCTTGATCTCTTGACCTCGTGATCCGTCCCCCTCGGCCTCCCAAAGTTCTGGGATTATAGGCTCAAGCCACTGCACCTGACCCTTAAGGGTTTTCTTAATGTGAAGCCTTATTGGCAAAAGGGCTTCCACAAGGACTGGTGCCAGTGGGTTAGACAGAAATCCTTGTCAGTCCTCCACTTCTTCCCAGACTTTTTACACCCAAAGCTAGTGAATTTCTCCGTTCTCTCTGTGAGGTAAAATGGGTTAGATCAATTTCTGTTGTGGTTTCTATAACAAAATACAAACCAGACTTAGAAATCTCATGACATTTTACTTGCCCTGCACTTTTATGACATATGCTTATTTTTGTGACATATGCTTATTTACAGTTTATTTCTTGCCCCTAAATGTTTGTTAGAAATTAAGTTGAAACTTCTGCTTCCTTGCCCTTGGGATCACGGAGCTAAGGTCTTTAGGATCTGGAGCAAGGTCTTTAGGAACAGAGCTCAACAGCTCCCAGATTTGGCCTGCTCCACCTAATGACAGCCTGTGCCTTTTCAGGTATGTGTATCACAGCTCACAGTGGATGGCAGCCGGAAATACGGACCATTTGTGCATCACTCCTAGATTCTATGTTCACCCGGACTCACCCTGCTCAGGAGAGACCTGGATGCGGCAGATCATCTGCTTTGACCGCATGAAACTCACCAACAATGAAATGGATGACAAAGGCTATGTACGTGAGCACAATCCTTTACCCTAACAGGGGAGGTGCCAAGGCTCCTGCCCACTGGTCACTCTGGAGAGGCCAGGGAGGCTTTTCATAGATGCACATGTTGTATTCTTTAGGAACTGTCCAAGCCCTGCACTTGTAAGTAAAGTAGACAACCTAGGGCTTCTGAAATGTTTGTTTGGCATCTGAGAGTGCTGGCGATTGGGGATGGCGAATCTAGGGAGTTTGAGGACAAAAAGAGACCTGTTTAAGCCAGAATGCCTGGTCTGGAAGAGGAGGAGGAAACCATTCAGGGAACTCTCAGGCACCTTGGCCTTCTGGGCAATCACTGTGATCTCTGTGATCACCTTCCTACAGTCCACGCAGTTGGATGGGCACCCAGTGTGTGGTATGATGTGATGGAGGGATACAAGTGGTGGAATCTCAGAATGCAGCCTGGAAATCTCTCCAACAACCTACCCTCATAGGTCCTATTGATCTTGCACATTCTTCCTAGATGCACCCCTGCTTCTGCCCTCTCCAGTCTGGCTCTGTGCCAGCTACAAAAGGAAAGAGGGAAGCTCCCAAAATTAGGAGGTAGGGTATGTCAGAAGGTTTCCCACCATGTCCAAGCCCATCAGTTCCTGCCAAGGGAACCTGTAGCAGGCTAGCAGATCCCAGTGACACTTCTACACCCGATGGTCACCAATGTTTGAAGAATGAAAGGGCCCCAATCTGGAAATGGAATCATTGCTGCTGAGGTGTCTTTCTCTGGAGATGTTTTTAGCCCTGAGGGCCTCTGTTGGAGTCCAAATGGCACAGCAAAAGCCGTTGTATGTAGCTACTTGAGCCTCATCATTGCCTTTTTGTGTGCATGTGGTGCAGTTGGTCAGGAGAGGGCACTAGTTGGGGACTGGAAGCCAGTTTTTCTGACAGCATCGATCATTTCTCCTCCAGATCATTCTGCAATCCATGCATAAGTACAAACCCCGAGTGCACGTAATGGAGCAAGACAGCAGTGTTGACCTGTCCCAGATTCAGTCCTTGCCCACTGAAAGGGTTAAAACATTCTCCTTTAAAGAAACTGAGTTCACCACAGTAACGGCTTACCAAAACCAACAGGTAAAGCTGGTCATGTCTGAGGCAAATGGGAATGACTCCGGAGGGATCTTGGGATAGCGGAATAGAGGCTAACTGCAATCAATTACATTTTCCACAATTCTAAATAAAATTCATAGTGTTATTGCATTGTCATCCATGCAAGTTTGATAATAAATTGTGTAAATCTTAGGTGAGAAGGCAACTCCAGAATGTAATTCATACAAGTGTCGGGCACAGTGGCTCATGCCTGTAATCCCAGCACATTGGGAGGCCTAGGCGGGCGCATGATGAGGTCAGGAGTTTGAGACCAGCCTGGCCAATATGGTGAAACCCAGTCTCTACTAATAAATACAAAAATTAGCCAGGCATGGTGGGGCATGCCTGTAGTCCCAGCTACTCAGGAGGCTGAGGCAGGAGAATCTCTGTAACCCGGGAGGCAGAGTTTGCCATGAGCCGAGATCGCCCATTGCACTCCAGCCTGGGTGACAGAGAGATACTTCGTCCCCCAAAAAACAAACAAAGATTAATGACTTACAAATAGGAGCTAACCATTTCAAATTTGACTTGCAATATGGTCATATTTATTTAAATTGTCATATTACATATTGCAAAGTCTTTTCTGGTGGTTGTAACCATGATAAGCAATGGTGACAGTGTTCTTACTGAAAGCCATGACTTTATCTTTCTCTCTCTATTGAATCCATAGATCACTAAACTAAAAATAGACAGAAATCCTTTTGCTAAAGGATTTAGAGATCCCGGAAGAAACAGGTAAGCAGCATAGCAATGACATCTAATGTTTATGTAGGTAGCTATTTTCACAAGCATTAAGGATAAGAAAACTGGCTAAGAGACTCAAAAGCTCTAAGTTTTGTAATTAGTAGGTGGTAGAAAAGGAACCCAGATGTTTTGTGTTCAAAATGTTACTTCTTCCCACTCCCTTGCTACTCACTATTAAGATCTTGCTTATTTTTGAATTCTATGTTTGACTTAATTTTATTCATAAGTCTATCTATATAAAAGAGAAATATTTAAAATAGTTACATCTTAAAGATATAGCAAAATAACTCAAAACCATTATTTTCAGAAATTGCATTCTGGGGATACTGAAAGTTGACTCTCTTTTTTAGGGGTGTATTGGATGGGCTTTTAGACACCTACCCATGGAGGCCTTCTCCCACTCTCAATTATAAAACCTTTGGCGCAGACACACAAAGTAAGAAAACTTGGAACATTTGTTTTATTTTTATGTATTAATTAAATAACAACATCCATAACCCTTTTAACAAATACTACACAAGGGGATAAGTACATGCCAGAAAATGTGTACTTAAAGGTAAGTGGGTGTACATTTGCTTGAATGACAAGATAAGAGGAATAAAAAGAGAGAAGCTGGCATGAAGGAACAGAGTAGAAATGTGATAATTGTGGACTTACTGACATATGTTAATGTTATCTTATACCCTGTGATTTTCAGGTTTCGTCAGGACTCTACAGCCTCTCACTGTGTCACATTCTTAATATATGCCTATGGTGAATTTGTAGCCTGATTTGCAAATATTTTAGCTATTGATATGAATAGTTTATGTTTTATGAGAACCTTTCAGCACACATTAAAATGACTTGCATTAAATTCATCATTTAGCTCTAATTTTCCTCTTTTTTTTGTTCATGGGGAAAGTAAATGTTTAAAATAATACTAAGTCTTCACAATTTAATTGCCACAAGCATTTAAAAATATGTGCAAGATATTTATTCTCAGATGGTATATTACATGACTAAACAATGATAATAATAAAATAATGTAGGTTTTCAGGTGGAAGAATGCCTTAATTTGCTCTGATAATTAATAATAATTTTTATTTGAAAATGACATGGAATTTTCTTGATCCCCTTTTCTTTACTCCATCAAAGTTGCTTGTCTTTGACCATTAATTCAAGGTTACAATTACCAAGCAAAATCAACATTATAGTTAAGCTGACTTTTACATGATGCCATATCAACTAACTGAAAGGGGAAGAAGTGAAGTCTTATCATTTGGTGAAATACTTCACTGGAATGACTGTGTCGATGTGGTTTAGGGAGTTGCTTGAAAAAATGTAAACACTTATTTTACAGTGTCAATTTAATAGCATCTAAGAAGCATACTTTTAAAATATCCAAGTCAAAACAGTGTGCATTAATAAAGAAAAAGTTAAAATGTTCCTAAATAATAAAAGTACACAGTTTTCCTAATTATTTAAGAGATCCAGAATGCTCTCAAATTGCAAGTAAACGAGTTACTAGTTTAGTATTGAATTTTTAAAATCAATACACTTTGGTCAGAGGAATTTTTACATCAATGTATCTTCTGACAGAGGAATTTTAAGAAATCAGTGTACATGAAATCTATACATTCTGTCTACAAATTAAATCGATATAATCCCAAACAACCAATCAATTTGTTCATCTTAACTATTTATTTTAGTAATTTTTAAGGTTTTAAAATAATAAAACTAGTTTGCATTTTTAAGCTATAATTGACTCTGAGTCGTAATTAGACTTCTTTGCAATTCTTTGGACAAATGTGGTTCAAAAAATAAGTGCCTAGTGCAATATTTGAGCAAATGAATGCTTAATACATGATACATGGTAGCAGTGCTAAAAGTAATAGTGGTAGTAGTGTAGATCAGTGTTCCCCAAACTTTTGGCACCAGGAACCAATTTTGTGAAAGACGATTCTTCCATAAATGGTGGGGGTTGGGAGGGGATGGTTTTGGGATAAAACTGTTCCACCTCAGATCATTAGGCATTAGTTAGATTATCATTAAGAAACACTCATCCTAGATCCCTCACATGCACAGTTCACAACAGGGTTTGTGCTCCTATGAGAATCTAATGCTGTCACTGATCTGGCAGCAGGCAGAGCTCGGGCAGTCAGTTAATGCTCACTGGCCAGCTGTTCACCTCCTGCTGTGCAGCCAGATTCTTAACAGGTTACAAACCTGTACCAGTGCATTAGGGATCCCTGGTATAGCTACTATATTCAACTTTGGTCAGAAGAATGAGCATGTCCTTTCTCAAAGAAGCTAAAAGAGCTGTGAACTTACAAGGAAATTTAATCTAAGGATGAAGCAAGGGGGAAATTATTAGTAATATAGCAGGAACATCAAACGTCAAGTTAATTATTCATTGAGTGAATTGTCATTCACAGGTGGAAGCAGTGGCTCATCTCCAGTTGCCCCTAATGGAGGGGTCTCCTCTCCTTTGAACTCCTTTCTTTCTCCACCTTGCTCTTCACCTATGTTTCATTTACCTACAAACTCCCTTGGAATGCCCTTGCACAATGTCAACCTGCCTTTTTGCTGCAAGATTTGTTCAACTAATTTTTGGCAACAGCAACCTCTTGTTTTACCTGCTCCTGAAAGACTATCAAGCAGCAACAGTTCTCAGATTTTTGCCCCACTCATGATGGAAATGCCTGTGTTATCCTCCCCGGGGGTCACCAATTCAAAAAGTGGTTCATATGCAGACTCCCGTGATCAGGGTCTACAAGCACCTATTTCTACCGGTCAAATGTTAAATGGATTACAGGCACCTGGAAGTATTTTTCTGCCAAACCCCATCGCCCAGGAAGCACTTAGTTGCTCCTTTCATCCTTCCTATGGCTTTTATAGATGCAATTCCTCTATGCCATCTAGACTGATAAATGCTTCCAACCATCTTGAAGTGAAGGACAACAGTCAAGTTTCTTCTAGAGAAGGCAAATGAAATGATGTTTGTTGATATCCAGCAATTAACCATTACCTTTAGTGAAACAATAGCATTTCTAGAACGGTTACATGTAAGAAAATATTTTCTTTATTTGTAGCCAAAGAAACTTCAATAGCTATTGGGCTTAAAAAGCATCATTACAATATGGTATTTCTTTGTTATGCATTTAAAGATTTAAAGTGCCTTATCAAATAAATATTCACGAGCTGTTTATAACATCAAATGTAACTGATAGGAATCTCTGATTACAGTTGCCTTGAGCTTCAAAATGAGATATGCAATAAATATTATTTGATGACATTCCACCAGTGAAAATTGATGCGAAGTGATGGGATTTTCAATTAAGTGAAGCTAGTTTACCATGATAACTGCATTTTACACATTAACAATGACCAAAAGAAGATGGATGTCATTCCTATGAAAGCAGTGAAACAATTAGTTTTAACCATGAAGATTGGCTTTAGTGTAATTATCTAGTAGTAGCAGAAGAAAATTTAATTATTTGTGGCTTTATATCTTTATACTTTGCTGTTGAATAAACTACTAATCTCACTTTATGATGCAAATAAGAACACAAATTTTCATGTATTATATTTTATTTATCTTTGCAGCCTGAAGACCATTTAATCTTGAAGAAACACAATGATCAAATAAAAAGTAAAACACTCTAAATAAATTTGCTTTTATTTTCTTTTATTTTTGGATAATTCCCTGATAAAACTTGTTCCCTTATTCCTTTAACACACCTGGTATTTTATACACTATTAGCCAAAATATATTGTTATAGTTTTCTAAGAAGATAAAGACATGATTATAAGAGAAACAATACATTTGAATCCATAAATATGAAAATATCATTATTCTGGTATGATTTAACTCCACTCTTGTGTGTCAATCATAGTAAATTAAACTAGACAAAAGTAGAATAATACTTTAAGTTTATGAAGTTGAAAAATTTTCTTTCACCAGGCCCTAAATTTCTGAAAATAATTATGATGTATAACCTATATATAGCCTGAATATCTTTATGATAAATCAGATTTTTATTTTTATGCCAATAACTCTAGGCATTTTATAAGCCAAGCCCTTTAATATCACAATGGAATGATTTTTGACAAACTAAGCAAACAGCTAAACTGATTTTTCTAATTTTTCCAATACATATAAAGAAGAGCATATTAATAATTTATTTTGCCCAAAATGATTATTTCATCCCACATATGCCTTATAAATTTGTCTTCCTATATATGTGTTAAAATTACATGCCCTTCCCTCCAGGGAATAAGGATAGAACAGCAAATGATTGCATTCAAATTAAGTATTCCAGTCAAGATGAAGTATTATTTGTGAACTGATGTAATTAGATGCTGTTGCAAAAGTCTTTAAGGAATAAAATGTATACTACTCAGGTTTATTAAACCAGAAATTAAAATAAGAAAGCACATTTTATTTTTGCTTACTCCAAAACAGGAAATCTATAGGCTAACTTTGATTAGTAAAATGGGTTGTTACTTTCTAAGCAGAAACCTTTATGTCAGATTATAAATGAAGCATTCTGATATCTACATGGAAGAACCTCAGTAATTGTCAAGAGAAAAGTATTCAACTGAAAAATCAAAGAAATAGCTGGGTAACTTTTTACTGATTATTTAAAAGAAGGCATTAATTTTGGAGCTTCTCCAGAATGCATATACCCTATTCTGTATGCTTCAGATAATATGACTATATATTACCTATGTAAAATTAATAATACGTAATTACATTGGCAATAGTGATTAATATAAAGGGGCAAATGTTTAAATACAAGAAGGTAAACATTTATCTTAAGCTACATTATATAATATTCATAAATTGACATTTTGCACTTTTAATTGGAGAAGTAACCAGGGGAAAGCCTTCATAGATAATTAGACATGAAAGAAACTCTAAGAGATTCGGTAAGCAGTCCCCTGCTTCTAAGTAGGTGACTCATTTGCAGAAATCTTCTAATAGCTCTAATTCATGCAGAGTAAATATTTAGTGCCTTCACTGTTTTCTGTTCAATAAATTCTTACTCCTCAATGGATGGTGCAAAACTCGAGTAACTGGGTAAATTGATGCTATGGTTATAAAATGAAAACAAAATTCTATGTAATTCTATCACTTTCACCTGCATCAACTAAAAGTTAGACTTGCTTTAGAAACCTAAAAACATCCAAAGCTACTCTTGTTGGAGAAATTGTGAAACAGCAGATGAAAGTGGCCAAATGATACTTAATAAACCCCCAAGTCTAATAATTAAAACCTCGATTTCCATCTGATTTATCCATATGTATATGGGTATCAATTCTTCCTTTTATATTCCTTCTTAATTCAGCTCTCTAAATTTATAAAATCTGATTCTTAACCTGACCTGGTTATAAGACTTACCACAAATAAATATAGGTAAAGTAAGCATTTCATTAACTCTGGGAAATTTGTATGTTGAATTAGAAAATAAATAATGTTACTTTACCCTTGCACAGTCCCCAGTCAAGCTCAGACCTGTAGTCAGATTCCCTGGTCAGAAGGGTATTATTTTGTGGAACAATCAGTCAAGCTGAAATCAAGGACCTAAAGTATGAGCCTGGTTACAGAACACATAGCTAAGTAGATAAATTCTCTATTCATTACACTTTAAAGACCAATATATAGCTTTAGGTAATATAATTTACAACATCAAACTCTAATACTATTATTTCTTTTCACCATACAGAGGGGTTAAGCCCTCTGGAAATTACATTTTAAAGTATCATTTATAATTTTACATTACATAATTTTAGAATCTTCAAACTCATTTATCATTGCTCCTATTCTCTCTGCTTGAAAATGACAAGATTAATTTTCCTCAAGCTATGAAGACAGATATTCATGATACTTCACTGCTATTAAACATGGATTGTACATATAGTCTAGGAATTGACATGACTTCATCCTTTTGTGAGGTTGAAGCATATCTGTGGCATGAAAAGAGATAAACAAATCAACAAGTGCTGATTCAGTGAACCATTCTTTGAACTACCAGAGTCCTGTCTGCTGTCAACTTGACAAAGTGCCAAATGTGAATAAGGACAAGCATCTGCATTGGACATTATGGAAGATTTCCCTTTATTCTCCTAATCATTTTTTATTATGTACCCTGGGGGTAAACCATGGCTCACATAAACCAGATAATTTGTATCATTTAAGTGTTACTAGTGTAATTCTGAGCAAGAACATGATTGAAATAAGTGTTTTATATAAGCATTTAAAACATATTTTACAAAAAGTTAAAATAAAATAGGTATATATTTTACAAATGTCTATAAACATGCTGACAAAATTTAGATGCTATAAGATAATCAAGTTATATGTATACAGTAAGGTAGTATGCAGTCATTATCTCTTTACTAAATCTCACTAACAAATATTTTCCTTATCTCGATATGCAGTTTTATAAATTTCAGATGTGACACTATAACATGTATGTGTATATACACACACACATAAAGTCAGTGATGTTTTAATCTTGTTTCATTGTTAAATAATTTACAGTGTGCTTCTTTTTCTCCCTCCTCTCCCTCATAAGAGATGCTACAAAGGACACCTAGTCATTACATACTTATATATTAGTTATACATACTTTTGGGGAAAGGAAGATTTAAACACACTTAGAAATGTGCAACTGTATGTACTGTACTTTGTGAATTGAAATGACAGGATGAAAGTACAATATTTTTACTCAGATTTAGAGATATGTTGCATATGTGATGAAAAATTTTTAATTAGCCAACCTAACAATAATATTGTTTTATACAGCGCAACAGTTTACCAGTTGATTTCACTAGAATTTAACATGTTTATTGGAGCAGTTTAAAACAAACCAAATACATAGCTTAGGCTGTTGCTTTGATATAAATGCCTTGGTGTACATTTAATCTTCTTAAGTTTGGTCTGCAATTAAATGATAATTTGTATTAAAACTGTGCAAATAAACATGGGTTGGTTGACAACATAAAACAGAAGAAAAAGATATACAGAGCACTGGAAACATATTCAGTATTAAAACTATTTACATGTGTGGTGCTAGCCAACTTTTGACATGCTGTTTCAATAAAATACTGAGAGGAAAAAGACTAGTATAATTTCCTTTCAAAGTTTCAAATGTTCATGTTTACAAATTTGTACTGCACATTGATACGTATACATACATTATAGTCAGCAGATGTACAGAAAATAGTTACAGGATCTTTCTTCTTAGCTTAAATGTATCTACATGTCAATTGACTTTATTTCTTAAATTGCCTGAGAGTCACAAATTTTAAGTTAAATAAAATTAAAAACCTTAAAATTATACTGGTTTTTGATCAAGTTATTATAGTTTAATTGCTGTTAAAGATAACAGAATTTTGATTTTGGATTGAAGACCACATACTTAAATGTAATATCTTGGTTGCAGAGAATGGTATGAATAGTTCAAATTTTTACTAGAACTGAAAAGAAATATAATCATAAGTTTACAATGATTGAAAGTTAATGTATTAAATATTTTTATTGAATACATAATTTAATCTATCATCCATTTTTATGGTGATTTTAAGAACATGTTGATGTTTTAGAACTTTATCATTATTTCAGTTTTGCCTGAAATTGCATTTCTACCATTTCTTTTGTGACATAAAGATTTTGTGACCTTTATACCAATTATACCGTTTAATCATACTGGTTTTCTACTTTATTGATTATTATAAATTATAGAAAAAGTTACATAATAAAAACACCAACAAATAGATTACTTTTTGGAAGAGTCATTGGTTTCTCAGTAAGACTCAAGTTGAAGTAGAAAGTTACTTACTGCTGTACCTATGCTAACATTGTATTTGGTTTGCTTTAAAGGGAACCCATACACAAGCCAAACAACATTTGTTGCATTAATACTTATGTTTGGCAAAACTCAGATTGGATCTTCAAATCATGAGAAAGAACTGTTTCACAAAAGTATAATGATTTTGCAACCTGTCACCATGATGCTTTTCTATAGTTGCACATTAATGAGGCAATGGTGAGGACAGGGCATTACATTTCTAAAGGCTCTGTAGGATCTGGCACCACATATATATGGCATTAAGATAAACTAATCCACTGTTTGCACTCAAGTGTTGTAGCCAAATTCAGCAGTTCTCTGGGTATGATTAATCAAGGTTGTTGCCCCTAGCCCTTGGGTAGGCAAGATACAGTGTATTCCAGTGGGCAGTTGGGGGTGAATATCCCAGCTGATGCTAACAAAGGCCTTACACTTACACACACACACACACACACACACACACACCTATCATGCTATATTTTAGTTTAGTTATTCATATGCATGTCTCTTCTACTAGATGGTGAGTGAAGGAGGAATGGTAACTTTTAAAATTTTTACTTATTTTTTAAAACTAATTTCAACTTTAATTTTAGATTCAGTGGGGGTACAGGTATAGGTTTGTTATCTGGATATATTGCGTAATGCTGAGGTTGGGGTATGAATGACCCCATCACCCACTTACTGAGCATATTAAACAATAGTTAGTTTTTCAACTTTTGCCTCTTCCTCCTTTAGTAGTCCCCAGTGTCTATTGTTACCATTTTATGTCCAAAGTTACCTATTGTTTAGCTCTCATGTATAAGTGAATAAACATAGTATTTAGTATTCGA